AGCACGCTGCTTACRGCACCCGAAATCACGTTCACGAGGTTTAAAGTGGCGTTGTTCTTGTAGTGCTGGTGTTTGCTGGCCGCTCGCATTTACTCGCATGGTTGTTGTATTAACCAGAGCAAAAATATGCAAAGCTCATCTTATTGCTTTTTAAATCGGTTGATAAGTTCTCTAGTCAACGCCTGGCATTAATTTAGTTTGACTGTCTAACTATAAAACTGGTTGACTGCCAATCTTTTCTCAAGCATAACATAATAATACGCTTAATGATGAGCAACACCACTTGCAACCTGTTTATACCTACACTTGGATTATTTGTTGTTGTCGATTTAATGCTAATCACAARATCATATTTAGCATTTTAATTTTCTGATTTAGCATAAGTTTAGCGAAGCATYCGGCGCGCTAAAAATCGAAATGAAATCGAGAGTGTTGGTTAAACACRTAAAATATTGATATTGCAATTTTTTGTGTGTTAAATATTGTGCGAATGACCTTTTTCATTTGTTACCAAGAGTTCGACGTAGCCTAGGTGGGCGTTTTATTTTCAATGGTTCATTTGCATTATCATGCTATACAATTTGTTTTTATAAAATCCGCCCACATTAGTTTATTTCTTATAGACGGTCATTTGAAGCATCTTAGCAATGAATRTTGGTAGATATTCTAAATAAGTGAACGTTTCTTTAAGTAAGATAAAAGGAACTTTAAGGAATGCTTGAGCCGAGGATCTSTATTAATAACGTCATAGTGAGAGTTATAGACTCTGGCTCACTAAAATAATACCTCTAACKCMTGCAGAAATATTTAGAAATTGAATRTGTGTGGAATTGACAATATTTGATTTGTTAGGTTCAGTGTGTAGCACTGGCTTTTATAGACGGTTTTTAGAGCTATCGTTATAATTATGAGTCCAGAGTTGATGATGTTTGAAAGCAAAAAAATCAAAATGTGATGAAACTCATTGGATTGATGTTAACAGTAATGTATAAAAAAATATAGTTTATTGGTGATCTGAGATCGTCAAGTGGAAGAGACTGATGTGTTCAAGCATTAAAAAATGTKTTTCTTGATTTCCGATGAAATTATGAGTCCTATGGAAAAAAGTTAGTATTAAAAATTACCAAAGTGTTTGGGYTTTTATTTTTATCTCTTGTAAAGTTTTTTCTTTCAAAAAATTTAGTTTTCTCATAAAGTAGAAGTTTTAATTAACCATTTTATGTTTAAAAGTTTTCCTCAACTTAGTTGGACATAATGTCATAACCACATTTTAAATCGAAARCTCCTACTTCGAAATATATTTTTTATTAAAGGTGGGCTTTTACTTTGCTGATATTGCAACTTCCTGATAGTACAAAAACATAAACATGAGTGTATTAAGTTTTCCGAAAAAATCCTGAAAAACTCCACTAAACTATTAAAAACTGTATGTTTTTTTCATCTATTCCAAATTGTTGTTCGTTTAGCACCAATTTTTAATGGATTCAATGGATCGWCTTTATCTCAAGTAGCATGACTGAACTGTAAGATGTTATTTCGGTAATGTTTGGTGAAAACTTGAAAAGATCGATAATATAAATAATCTGCTAATAATAAAATTAAAGAACTGAAATTGAAGCTTGGCCTTCCATATATATCATCGGAATGCATCCGTATAATTTTTGGTTAAATGATAACAGTCAACGTTTTTTGTTCATTAAAAAAATCTATTAAAAAAAACCTAAATTATAACAACCTTCRGTGGGCCTCAGCGATGAGCCTCATTTCGGACTTAATAGGTATGTAAACAAGCAAAATTGCCTAGAAGATCAACTCGAAGAGGTTCAAGAGATGCCATTTGATTCAGAAAAAGCGAAGGTTTGGAGTGGTTTATGGATCGTGATCTCGGCAACATTTATTTTCAACGAAACGGCGCTACTTCCCACAAAAAGTAAAATCTAAAGTCTATGCGGACAATYCCGCTTCGATTCAAGCCTTGGAGCAAAACATCACGCTTGTAATTCGTCAGTTACCAGTCCAAATACTCAATCGTGTCATTGTAAATTGGACTCAACGGGTGGACCATCTGAGACGTAGCCGTGGCCAACATTTGAAAGAGATAATCTTCAAAACATAAATGCCAATGAATCTTCTTTCGAATGATAATAAACATTCACCATTAAATTTGAGATTTCTATGTTTTTTCTTTAAAAAAGTAAGGAGCATCGAAATGGATAGCCCTTTGTAAATACTATGTGTATAATACCTATAATATAGGTTTCAAAGATTGCTTGATTTCAACACTATATCTACCCACCTTGAAGAAAACTTATACAATCTGTACGTGAGTTGAAAGAAAATGTGCTCTAAAATTATTGTGTTGCTGTTAGAGAGAAATTAGAGATCCTCCAAATCTCTGAAATAATTATTTCATTTTGGTTGACGTTTTGATGAAAGACGTGATTTTTTACAACGGGAACCTATCATACACATGACAGGTTGCAAAAACAAAAAAAMAACATAGTCACCTAATTTGTCAGATTCGGATCACTATGCAGTTCTTAAAACATAGATACTCACTTAGGAAGACATGAGTTGATCTTTTTGAACTAAAAATCAACTGCATAGGTCTCGGCTTAAATGTAAGGGGCTTAAATTGAAGGGTGAAAATCTTAATTTACTTAAAGGTTTAGAATTTTTTTTAATAATTTGGTTAAATATGTTGAGATGATATTTTTGGGGGAAAAAATTATGCAATTGGTTATTTAGTGAAATAAATGTATTGACATTAAAATAATTCAAATGCATGTATTTAGTTAATTTTCTTGCATATTATTTTTAACTACTGGCGACTGCTAAAATAGTATCGTGTTTTCAAAAAATGTCTTAAAGAAGTGTACTTTATTTATGATTATAACAAAATAAAGCAAAATACATAGTTGCATTTGATAAAACTTATTGAGCAAGAGAGCTAATTAAAATTAGATTTTTAAATTTTTTACTTTTTGATATCACAAACTTAAATACATGCTTACAGAGTGTAATATAAAAGATAGAAAGTTTGTTGCATCTTTTGACACATTTCTCACTACAATAGTTCACTTTAACTATTGTTCGGTACAAAAATGTTGAAAAAAGGGCAAAATTATTTAACAACTCAATTATAGTTTTATAATTGGCATTGGCAACACATAAATATGTGTACATATATATTTGTATAGTATTATGTATTTGTATAAACTTTACGCAATCACATAATAAACTATGAAAAGTATTCCAAATAAAGCAAAATTTTTAATGCGAATTTAATTAAAAGGYGACTTAAATTAAAAGCGGCAATGCGAAAAGTTCACAAAAGGTGCAAAGCTGCTCTGAAAATTGAAATTAAAAGCAAATAAATAMTATACTTTATATTTATTTACACTCATGCTATATGTTTGTATGTTTTTATACATCTCCCCAAACAAGCAGAAAAAAACATCAAATGAAAGTGAGAAGGAAAGCGAGGTGCAACTGAAAGTAAAATTGGCGAAAATTTGTTACAATTTCTTGTTGCGCATCAAAACAGGCGGAGCCGAAAGTGGTTTAAGTGGTTGCTTTGCTTTGGTGCTGTTGCTATTGTTGCTAACGCCATAGACGCTTGCAGTTTTGATAACTATGATGGCGTGCTGATTGTTGTTGTTGTTTTCACTCGGTGCAGACTGTTGAACATGCTGTCGGTGGAGGGCGTAGCGAAATATAGGGTATTGGCAGAGGGGAGAGTAGCTACGCTATACTCTGGTCCGATTTAAGAAAATTGTTSGGAAATTGTCGCGTTGGTTTGGAAAATAATCAATGCAAAATTTCGTAAAGATATCTTGTAAAATAAAAATAGTTTTCATACAAGGAATAGGATTTGATCGAACAATTYGTATGACAGCTATATGCTACAGTCGACCTATTTCGGCAATTCCGACAAATGAATAGCTTCTTGAGGAGAAAAAACCTGAGGGCTAAGTTCGCGTATATACAAACGTTTTATAATGGGTAGTCGAAAAGGTCTTTTCGTATTTTGTCAATAGATTTSGTTGCAGTCGTATATCTCTAGTGCTCCCAATCACACTGTCTCTTACCATATAGTGTTCGAAAGGTGAGTTTCATTTAACCAAAAAAAAAATAAAAAATAAAAAATAAAATTCGGGGAAGTTGAAAAAAAATTAGTGAAAATAATGAAGAAATTCGCTTTAATTTGAAAATTTTGTATAAAAAAAGGAAGCATATTTTATGTTGGAGACACCATACTAGTAATCCAGTTTTTGAGATATTATTGCCAAAATTATTACACGCAGTCGAAAAGCATATTCTGGTATAAAAGTACATACAAACGTGCTTTTAGAAAGGCCCTGTATAAGCGCTTAATTTTCTCAAACAGTTTTATGATTTGAGTACAATATTGGCGCTTTTATAATATTATATATTTAATACAAAAAGTGATTTTTGTATGTATTGTTTATCTAACAATCATTCAAACACACAACGTTATTGCAACGCCTTATGAACGCAACAAACCATGGAGGGCTGTTTGTTCATGCCACACAATGGGGCATATAATTAGTAATGCCTTAAATGTTTCGAAATCTTTAAGTTAGTGTGCGTGTCTATGCGATGCCTGGTAATTTTGAAAACTCTATTGACTTTGCATATAATGATTTGTTGGTATGTATTAACCGCGCACACTAATACATGCGTACATATAATGGCGTCTGCGTGTGAATTTTATATTCCTCAGCTGTTGGTTGGGTTGCGCAAAAAAATAATGCAACCGCAGGTGCCACGGCAAGTGGCGTATTTCGCCAACTAACATGTAATTTGCATTTTCACAGCGCGTCCGAAGGCCTATGCGGCAATCAAGGGTGCGAACGTAAAGCATACAAATGTGCCTATTGTGTCATTCGGTTTTTTTTTCGCAATATTAATGCGTTGTTATTTTTGTTTTTATGTCTAGTTGTTGCATTAATGCAAAATTTTGTCATAAAACTTACTTGAAATTGTACCAATGTGGCAGTACTCGACGAATTTTCTTTCAAATCCAAGTTCGTTGCTTAAGTCTTTTGTCGTTGCTGCTTGGATTGGTTTGGTTTGGTTTGCCTTACTTGTAAGTAAATCTCTTCCTGTTGTTGTTGTCGTTGTGTTTTGCACAGCGTTTCGTTTCACTTGACTTGTTATTGCACTTTTCTTGTTGTTGTTGTTCTTTTAGGCATTTATTTCCAACACTTTAACTTATTATTATTTTTTTTAATTTTATTTTCAGCGTCGTATTAATGATTCTATTAACTTTTATTACAAAAAAAGATAGTTTGTGAACTACAGGGAATAAAATGTCAAAAAATTAGTTTGAATTTAAGTGCATATTGGATGCATTTACTAGTAAATAGTGTGTAGTTTGCAATACAAGCCTGCAAATTTCATGGCGAAAATGAGAGTTCAGCGCAGAAAAGCATGACAAAAATATGAAGAGAGTTGATAAAAGAAATAAGAAAGACACAAGAAAATGCAATTGTGCATACAAATGTAAAAAGCGTTCGCATGAACGGATAAAGTTTCGCGTGCAAGCGGCAGCGCACGTCTTTGTTCCAACATATATATTGTTGGAACAAACATATATTATATATTATATATAACATATATGTGTGTAAATAATCAGCTTTGCTGGCTTTGCATTTCATATATTTGGCGTTAGTGTTTTGGTGTCTGTGTTAGTGTGTACGAGACTAGACACTTTCTTGTTGCATGCTGCACTGTGGCCATAAAATACAAGCGCAAGCCAACAGCAACACGTACACATATACAGCTATTAAAAGCAGCAGATTTTAAACACTATTTTGTTTTTGTTTTTATTTTTGATTTTTTTTGCAATTTAATTTCAATGATGTTTTTACATACAATAATTTCGAAAAGTACTTTTCCTTTAATTTCCTTCAATCAAACTATTCATAGTGCATATAGTGCATATCAAAATCCACTTGACATTCACGCACAGCGCAGCCGTAAAGTTATATAAACATGTATTATGGAAAAACACAAAAACATATTTGTCAAAAAGTAAGTTTTTTGCACTTTCAAATATATTCAGTTCTTGCAACACACATTTCTTAAATTAGTTTAAACAAAAATAAATATCAGATTTGCTTTTATGGCAAAAATTTGCGTATTTACTAGTCTTTTCGTATTTTTACAACAATTTCCAACACAGTCACATTGGCAACAAACCGAAAATAAATTTAAATGCATTTACTCTTTTCCTTATTTTGCAATCCACCGAAAAAAGGGCCCCACTTTCAATGCGTTTGAAAATTTTGTTAACCGTTCGCAGTGCTGCTTAAACGCAGACTAAATTGGCCAACGATTGGCCAACTACCATTTGCTTTTCAAATAAAATAAATATATACACTTGTTGCTGTTATTGCCACTGCCACTGGAAGTTGCTGACACCAAAAACCCAATTGAGCAAAATTCACTTACTCCCAAGCAAATCGATTGGAATTATGTGCTGCGCTGTGGCGGAGCAGCTGTGAGCTGAAACACATACGCAAAGTCAACATTAAGCGACGCATGCCCAGCTCTCAAACCACATTTCGACCATACACGCGAGCAAATGTACTGCTTTGGCAGTGCTCATTTGCAGTTAGCTTTTGCTCTAAGCTCCAACGGCTGTCRTTGTTTCGTTGTTATCTGTGCTTGCTCTCCCAACCGGTTGTGCAGCGGCTTTGCATTTACATTTGCGCATGTGCAGTATGTAAAAGTGCGAGTGTTRTAATATTGTTTTGTGTTTTTGTTTTATTTTCTGTTTTTGCCTTTTTTTGTGGAATGCGTCAACAGTATACTTTTAATAAAAACGATTGCAAGCGATAAGGTGAAATAACAAACGAATAAGTGATAAATATTTAGCAATCAAAAAAATCGATGCATCCGTATATCTTATATATGTACTATGTAAAACAAAATTGAGATTTTTTTATAGTTTTAAGTCTTATATTTATCTTTATCTTATAACTACGTTTCAATTGCTGTAAGTACTAGAAATGTACTTTGTTGGGACCCCGTTGCCTTTATACCGGTTGGAATGTAAATTAACCACTTTTTAAACATCTTTATAATTAAAAGAAATTCCGGTTAGTTACAACATTTATATGTAACTCAAAAACGACTAAAGAATAAGTCAGAATAAAAAAAAATACAATTAAAAAATCGCACAGATTAACTTAAAAATAATTATATGGAGAGTTATCCAAATATAGTATAGAAAATATTATAATTGAAATGTAAGCAATAATATAAATAAGAAAACACCGTCTGACTGTCCGTTTGTCTACACAAACTCTACGATAAATATAAGGTTCTTATATGAAAACATTTTCGTTTGACGAGATATTTTCACGCAATTTGGCGTATCTTATTATACGAACAAGTTGTTCTTCACAACTAATCGATTCAAATCAAGTTCTTGTATGAACACATTTGGTTTATTTTATTATTATACTAGTTTTTGCGCGGTTCACAAAACTTGCTAGGATAGGCATTTCTGTCTTAATAATTGCGAAAGGTCAAGGGGTAGGAAGTCCGTCGGCTTCTTGCAGTTTACTATAAGGGTTGGGTCTCAGATCAGACCAACAAGGGTTGGCCAATTACCAGCAGCTGAGCAGTCGCAATGTTCTTTTGGTTTAGTATAAATCGTAAGAGTTTTAGTACAGAGTTCTTTGCTTTCAGCAAGGCCCACCTCTCAGTGGTTGCAGGAGTTCTAACTGGATATTGTTCGGTAAGGATTCATGTGGTAAAATTGAAGATTTGACACGCTTTTGTCAGATCAGAGCAAAAACACGTTGGATTTCATTAATATATTTAGTTTCGCCGATATATGCTGTCCTACTACAGGAGTCTGACTTTACAAGGGACTATTTATAACAGGAAACTTTTTTTTGTGAAGGGTTTTATAACATCGGTGCAAATAGGTAGCAATAGGGGGGATACCCTGCGGTATCCTTTTTGTGGACAATCATTAAAGTTTTAGTGTTTGATGGGTTCCAAATATTTTGCATTCGCAATGGAAGTTCAAAACCGTTTCCGCAAAAAGGGGTTATGCTTACAAGTGCGGCAACTACTGTATAGGGCAAGCAAATTTTTGGAGCATACTCTCCAAAAGGCCAGTGCCCCGCGATAGTAGCTGTAAATTTGTCCATGCTATTTCTGAACCTAGATAATATGCTCTTTGTTCTCCTATTTCGGCCATTTTTGTTTCTGTAGATTCAAATTGCTTATAAAGCCCCTTTTGATAGTTCCTAGCAGGAATAGTATTGGTTCTGCTTTGGACTCCTCCAAAGAGGCTCCTAGCATTGCTAACCGGTCCGTCTTTTCGTTGTCAAGAATGTTCCTGTGACCAAGAACCCAAATTAAGGACAAATGGAGTGGCAGGTCAAGCAGGCAGGTGAGGTATAAGCTTTAATGCAGTTGTTGACTACGTTGAATTAATCTAAGGAGCTTCGAGTTAACTTTCCATGTTTATATGTACATATTTTTATTGGATCTTCGAAGTTTCTTTCTGAGTCTTAAAGACTTGGTGGCAAACTGAATACTTTGTGCAAAAATTCCAAGAAATTTTCAAGTTTTTATTATCGGTTATAAAAAATATTTTGATCATTTGAACCATATTTCGAATACGACCCGATAAGTACTTAGCCTCACCGCACGATGACAACAGTGAGAATACATCATTACAGGGTTTTTCGCTGTGGAAGCGAATTCAGACGGAGTAAATTTATTTGTCCATTAATAACCGTGAACGATATGTACTTATAGATCTACCGAAAAACAAAAAGACCAAAGAGCAGTGAATTCCATCCAGTCCGCGGAGGTCATGGCCACCGTTTTCATTCGCAAAATCTGATCTAAACATAAAAAAGTAAAAAAGGGCTCTAATATGCCGACTTATGGAATGGATTTGACGCCGAAGTGCAGAAAAACCAGAATTTAGCAAAGAAAATAAAGCTCTTCCTCCATAAGAACGCATGGGCTTACACCTCCGCCACACTTACGAAAAATTATTCTCTGAGCTGCTGCGTCATCAAGGTAGTAGCAGATGTACTTCTCCGAAGTGCGGCTTATTTTAAGGAGGAATGTATTGCCACTCATGCTGTGAGCCTAAACATTTTTAAGGACTCAACTTGTCAAAGTTATCATGTGGAAGATGATGTGGAAACATCCAGCCACATCCTGCTCCACTGTTCAGCTTTCGACAGACTAAAGCTAGAGTATATGTATTAGAAATTCTTCACCTTCTTTATTAGTGTAGATTGGTGACATCCTCTAGGCGTTTTGATGATATGCGACGGTCTTTTGATTCATACCGAGGAGTTTTGAGCATTTCAACGAACAAGCGTCTATATCAGTCCAAGAGGGATTATTCATCATCTAACCAGTAATGAACCTGTTTAAGCGGGAAAGAAGGGTAGGGAAAATTTGAARGCATTAAAAATATTCAAAACCATTTAGAATATTTATCAGTTACTGTATAAAATAATTAAGATATGGCTAAGTAAGGAGGAAATAAAAAATTTCGAATTAGCTGATCGAGATAACACAAAAKGCCGCCAATGAGTTGACTGAAACGGCGTTAACATATTGGCAAAGATTAATCAAATAAAGTAGACAAGCCCTTAAATGTAATCAAATATTATGTGTACATATTTCAATGTACGAGTATATTCTTTCAGAGCAAGATCGCTTTATGTTGCCGCTGCAAAATAAAATAAAAAAATAAGTTAAATTTTTTCTTCAAAAGATTTATATGTTAATGAAACTGATAAATGTATCCTTTATGTTAAAAGCAAACAAATACACACTGCTGAATATATATAAACACATATTTGCTTGCGTGATAAAACTACTTTATTCARATGTATTCGTTTCATTTTTGTTTTGCGAGCCGGCTACCACAGGTTTGATGAGGCGCGTGTTCGATTCGCCTAGCAAAACTGGTTTTAAATTCACAAATTTATTTATTTTATTTTATTTGAAACTGTCTCGGKTGCTAATCTTATATTTTCAATATATTGGCACATACACATACTTACTTATAACGTTTTTTACGCGTATAACCACTTTTGATTTCRATCTGTTACTATTTATAATTTTAGCTTTTGGATTTACTAGTATTATAACTGGAGTAAAGGAGTGCGTGTGGACATATCTAGACCTGCTTTATTGTTACTTTTAATTATTTTGCAATTATTTTAATACCGCTTGGCGATTTGARTATATTATATATKTTTAAATATTATTTACTAGATTTATTATCAAAACTTTGCATTTCGCATGCCTCCCATATCCACATATTAGTCCAGTGAGTTCCACGGAATGAGGTCAGCATAACTGAAAGGCCAATAAGTATAGGTTTCCTTACTCACGTGCTTGCTTTACACCAACAATAATATATAATTGGATTTAATAATAAWTTGTGTAAACACATTTAACATTCGCTGGCTAAGCAGTTCGCGTTAATTTGTGCAATCGTTGGCCCTTTAGCCCGCCAAAACAATGACATAACAGCACAAAGAGGTGCGCAGTGCGATAGCGAGTTAATGGGTCGATAGTTCGTTGGCTGAGCGCGCTCTACTATTGCCGTTAAGTGTGATAAACACTAGCTATTAGTCACTATTCAGAAATCGAAATTGTTAATCGAAGCATGAGTGATTGCACTGCTTGCTAATTTATTTACAAAACGCCGCAAAGTACTAAATACCCGTACTTAATTCAATAAGTTCGAGTCATATGTAAAGAAACGCTTTGCAAATAGTAACTAAGAGTAAAAGAGAAGTACTTTATACATACATACAAATATACATTTGCAGCTAGGTTATAGGCTTTCTTAAAAGTCCCCTTCACATAATCGTACACTCATTACAGCATACGTTGCATTGCATTGCAGTAGTCACCGTTTAATATAAATTGCAACTTTTTATACTCTTGTAACATGTTACTTCAAAGCATAATAGTTTTGTTCACCTAAAAGTTGTATATATTACCTAAAACTAATCGAGTTAGATAAAGTGTCATATAAACGATSAGCATGATAAGACGAGTTTAAATCCGAGTGAGTGTCTGTTCGTCTG